TATAATTTATTTAAGCATTCAGCTAGTAGAAAAAAGATTGCCAATGAAGGAAACGAACTCTAACATTAAATTCCAGAGAGACTGATTTTCAAGGGACTAGATTTTATGCAGGTATTTAAGGTTGGAAAAGCTCTCTTCTATGGGAAAAAGCAAAGAAAAGAGGTATTTTAGAAGTAGAAGGTTTCTTTTTGTCCACAGAAACCATTCTGCAAAAAAAAGATAAGTAAAAAAAAATAAATAAAATGGGCTTTAAAGTATACTGCAATCACTGGGAGTTGATTTTAAAAACAGATTTTTAATATTGAGCTTGTTAACATTTAAAAGAATGAATGGTATTATCCTCACTCAGTTTACTCAGCAAAACCAGGGATGAATATATTCTGTCTTTTTTAAGTGAAAGCGTGGCCCCTACTTTTTCTATTTTCTTTCTCTTTTTGTGATACATAAATATATTTTGGAGGCTCGCATTGTGGCACAGCTGGTTAAGTCACTGCCACCCATGACACTGGCATCCCATATAGGTGCTTGTTCAAATTCTGACTTCTCTGCTAATCCAGCTCTCTGTTAATTTCTTTGAGAAATCAGTGGAAGATGGCCCAAGTACTTGGGACCCTGCCAGCCATGTGGGAGACCAGGATGGAGTTCCAGGCTCCTGGCTTCCACCTAGCCAGCCATGCCATTGTGACCATTTGAGGAGTGAATCAGTGACTGGAAGATCTTTGTCTGCCTCTCCGTCTCTCTTATCTTTCAAATACATAAAATAAATTTTAAAAAGAAGATATACGTTTGTTAACCAGTTATTCATTTAACATCTAAGGTAGCCTTTATTGCCTTGTTTTATGGCTGCTTTGTTTGATCAGGCATAGTTTCCTTGCAACAGATATCAAGCTTTATCCATCCCAGGAACTGCCCAGTTTGGGTCACGGCAGGTACTTGACCCATGGGCACCAATAATAGATGTTTTAAGAATATGGTGGTTATGGGCCGGCGCCGCGGCTCACTAGGCTAATCCTCCGCCTAGCGGTGCTGGCACACCGGGTTCTAGTCCCGGTCGGGGCGCCGGATTCTGTCCCGGTTGCCCCTCTTCCAGGCCAGCTCTCTGCTGTGGCCAGGGAGTGCAGTGGAGGATGGCCCAAGTATCTGGGCCCTGCACCCCATGGGAGACCAGGAGAAGCACCTGGCTCCTGCCATCGGATCAGCGCGGTGTGCTGGCCGCAGTGTGCCGGCCGCGGCGGCCATTGGAGGGTGAACCAATGGCAAAAGGAAGACCTTTCTCTCTCTCTCTCTCTCTCTCATTGTCCACTCTGCTGGTCCCCCCCCCCCCCAAAAAAAAAAAAGAATATGGTGGTTAAAGTCAAGACTATCTGATTCCAAACCCAAGGTCTGTCCCTTTGACATCTATATTCTTCTTCCATAAAGTAAGTTTACTGATTATTCCAACCAGTTTTTTGAGATGAGGAATAAGCCAGTTAATACATGTAACACTTCTCAACTGGTATGTGACACATAATATTGCTCCATATCTGAAAAAACAACACTTCTCTACACCAATTAAAGAAAAACCTATTTCCTCCACCTCCATTACAACTCAATACTTCTAGTTACCAAATATGTGAGTTTTTTTCCTCACATTGATTCAATTCAGTTTGACAGACATCTACTACTGAGTGTCTGATAATTTAGTTCAGTCCTGACACTATCTGGAGACACCACACATCTCATGGATTAAGAATCAGTCCCATTAAATTGCTCCCACTCAGACAGCAAAAGCAAGTGTAAGTTGTCACCTGTGCTGTGGATTGGTTAACTATAAACGATAGGTTCCCACTACCTCCTCAGATTTGATCATTTGTTAGAATAGCTCATATAACTCAGGAAAAACAGCATGCTTACTCGATTACTAGTTTATTATAAAAGTGAAAGTACAACCCAGGAACAGTCAGATGGGAGTGATGCACAGGGCAAGACAGGGGAAGAGGCATGGAGCGTCCATGTTCTCTTGGGGCACAGAGCCTCTTTCTACTGTGGTGTGTTCCTCGGTAGGGAAGCTCCCCTAACGCTGTCCTTTTGGGTTTGGCTAGAGGCTTTGTTACACAAACATTAATTTAGTCATTGGCCTCTGGTGATTAACTCAAATCTAGCCCTCACCCACTTCCAAGGTTGAGGGGTGGAGCTTAAGACTCTGGTTTTTCAATAACTAATTGGTTCCCCTGGTAATCAACTTCTCTATCTTTTGGGGCTTTCCAAAAGTCACTTCATTGCAGCCGTTGCCTATAGCGCTGGCATCTCATACGAGCACCAGTTTGACCCAGAAGAAGCTCTCGGATCCTGACTCAGATTGGCCCAGCTCTGGCCATTGTGGCCATCTGGGGAGTGAACCAGCAGATGGAAGACCTTTCTCTCTCTCTCTCTCTCTCTCTCTCTCTCTCTGCCTCAGTCTAACTCTGCCTTTCTAATAAATAAATAAGTCTCTTTAAAAAAAATGTATCTTTTAAGTATGCCACCCCTAGGAAATCTCCAGGATTTTAAGATCTTTGTGCCAGGAATAAATGAGGACTAAGTCCTATATAATTCCTATAAATCACATTAACACATGTTATTACTATTATTTTGAATGATGAGGTAAGATAATCAAATTATCTTTCCTTATGATTTCATTTGGGTAATCCTGATAATTAGGCAGGCAGCAGTGGAATAGGAGTTTAAACACTTGGTGTGATGGTTATGACACTATCTGTACCTCACATCAGAGTGCCTGGGTTTGAGAGGAGCCACTCAGCTCCCTATTACGTACATCCTGGGAGTCAGCAAATGCTGTTTCAAGAACTTGGGTCCTTGTCATTCACATGGGAGACCTGGATTGAGTTCCCAGCCCTAGATATTGCAGGAATTTGGGGGAGTGACCCAGTGGATGGGAAATCTCTGGCTCTTTCTCCGCCTTTCTAATACATAAAATTAAATGTAAACAATAAATTAAGTATAGAGAGGAACTATGAGATACATTAGGACTGTGAAGGGTAATGGCAAGTTGGACTTCTGAGACAGAGGAAACCATCATTAACAGAGTACATCACAGCTAGCTCTGATGTAATAACAGACACTGTGATGTCATCTCACGGAATGCTTGCCCTAGAACACTTGTAGCACACGTGCACTCACCACCTAGGACAGCATATTCCTTCTATCACTGTTGTACCTGTCAGTTCCGTGAAATAGAATATAGGAAAATTTACCAGTTACTCTTTTTTTTTTTTTTTTTGACAGGCAGAGTGGACAGTGAGAGAGACAGAGAGAAAGGTCTTCCTTTGCCATTGGTTCACCCTCCAATGGCCGCCGCGGCAGGCGTACCGCGCTGATCCAATGGCAGGAGCCAGGTACTTCTCCTGGTCTCCCATGGGGTGCAGGGCCCAAGCACTTGGGCCATCCTCCACTGCACTCCCTGGCCACAGCAGAGAGCTGGCCTGGAAGAGGGGCAACCGGGACAGAATCCGGCGCCCCGACCGGGACTAGAACCTGGTGTGCTGGCGCCGTAAGGCGGAGGATTAGCCTAGTGAGCCGCGGCGCCAGCCCAAATTTATGTTACTCTTGACATAAAAGTAAGAAAAGGGAATCCAGGATCCACAACGGGGTTGAAGTGACCTTCCATGCTAGGGATCACTAGATTTCCTTCTGTCTGTCCAGTCAACAGAACAAAGTTCAAGCTTCTGCTGTTGCAAGTAAAGCTTCTTGATAGAGCATGCATTGGCTTAAGGGAGCCTAAGTACATATTGTCAAGAAACTTGTATATATTGGAAACATTTCTCAATTGTTTGGATTTGGACCATTCTAAGAATGTAAAATTATGAAAATTGAGGCAGCCTGGAAAACTCGTTTTCTAAAATTTTATTATACAAATAGCAATGTCAGATGATGAAATCACAGCAACTTACTTTAAAGATCCTAATTGGCTTTACTTTATACTGTAGTATCAGGCAATACTTTATTCCATAAAGTAATGATATTGGAATGCCCACTTTACTGGGTTTGCATCTGATGCTCCACACTCAAAGATATCTTGCATTTTCCCATGTTTCCCTAAAAGTTCCTACATCTTATGCTTGAACATTGCGTTTGAACCCCTATTTATGTCCCTGCTTTTTAGGGACATAAATGTGCAGAGGGAACTCAGAGGAGAGAACTGCATAGCATGCAACCTGGGCATGTGCAGAAGTTGAAAAATTTAAATGTTGGAACCATAGAATTTAAACAAATTTGAGCCCTTTCAGATGGGAGAGGTCTGTTGAACAAAGAAATCCAGAATTAAAAGTCCATCTTACCCTACTGGCCTGATTCTAAACCCCTCCAATCAGAACTTGCCTTGTCAGCGTTTCTGCATACCAACCCTAAAGTAAAACTTTACCCAGACCCCTGATCAAGGAGGTAGATTTGAATCTATTGGCCCCCTATTGGCAGGTAGTACCACCTTTCTCTTTTCAAAATGTGGGGAGCAACTGGGAGCAACTCGGACTAGACTAAGTTACTGGAATTAAGACTTATTCTATGCATCTGCTCTCCCACAATATGGCTCTGGGAGAGGAGGAGACAGCTTCTACACAGCTGCCTCCAGTTCAACCAATAAACTGTAGGACCTGCTCCTGATTGGAGGAGAGCAGAGTACTCAGCGTGTGGGTAGCAGAGTTGGGATTGGTGGAAGAGGACTATAAAGGAGGAGAGAGACAACATGCACCAGGAACATCTAAGGGGAACATCTGAGGGAACACCTGAGCAGCCCCCGAGAGAGCCGGCCGGTGGTGTGCCGCTCCCCCGCAAAAGTGGGGAAAGTGGCAGAGGGAACCGCCCTTCCACGGAGGTGGAAGGGACGGTAGCCAACTCGGGAAGAACCAGCAGCAAACCCGGGGAGGGCCGAGCAGACAAAAGAACAGCACAGGGTCCTGTGTCGTTCCTCCACGAAGACGGGGAGCGACACAAAAGACCAACATCACAGATTGGGTGTGGGTACATCAGGTAGTGGACCTACCTCATCCAATAGCAGTGAGTAGTGTTCTGATGGGTAGTAGAAGAGATTGGTTTTATAGGCTGAGAAAGGCTGAAGAAAGCAACAATGAAGGAACAAAACATGGATTGATCATGTCGAAGTTACTTTTCTTGGAAGACTAGGAGACAGAACAACAGAAAAGTAAGAGAAGGGTTACCATCAGGTTACTTCAGGTTACCTTTTTTTGTGTGTAAGGGTTAGGGTAAAGAAAGCTTCATTATCATGCTGGTTGAAGCTGGCCTGCTTGGAAAAGTTGGCAATTCTGGTTTCTCAGATGGTCAGATAAATAGTTTAGTTTCAGCTTGAAGATGTAAAATTTCAGCATGAGTGATATCATTTTGTAACCCTGATGTGTGTGGGAGTTTAGCCCCAAACAATGGCCTGTTGTAAATTTTATTGAACAGCAGTGAAGTATAAAATAAAATAAAATAAAATAATATAAAATAACACAGGTTGGGGCCAATACCTTATATCCTTCTGTCAAAGCTTTTTTCTGTGTTTTAATTTTTTTACTGCTAAAAAATTCAGTAATATGGGGCTCTTTGATTCTATGGTATATAGTAATGAGTCAGCGTGGGGCAGAGGTTCTCAATTGTTGATGATTTTATTCCCTAAGGAACATTTGGCAATGTTTGGAGACAATTTTGGTTATTGCAACTGGGGGTGGAGGACAATTGGCATCCAGTGGGCAGAGGTAGGAGAAGCTGCTAAAATTCTGCAATTTAGAAGATAGCCCCCACAAAAAGAATGATTGAGTCTGAAATGTTCATAATGCTGAGATTAAGAAACCTTGCCCTAAAGAAGCTTGTAACTTTTATTGAGCTTTGTTTTTCTTCCCAATCAACTAATGAGAGGGAATATGGCAATAATGTTAGCAGGAATATGGCAAAAATGTTAGCAGTGTCTGAGGTTTTCAGAATCCCTTAGGTCTGGATCATTTCTGATGTTGGCTATTCACCATGTCAGACAATATGTTTGTTTTCCAAAGTTCAGCGATTTCACGGGGCCATGATATTACAATGCTCATTAGTTTCTCATTTCAAAAGCCTATTCCAATAGCCTGGTAAAGAGAACAGAAGAGAAAGTTCCCTTTGTTCTCAGTGCTCGACCTTTGTTCATTTCCTGAAGCCTCTCCCATCTCTATAAGCACATCCTTCCCCTGATAACCCAAGAAGAATGACTACTCTCCATGATTCTGCCTTATTTCTATGCCCAGTCAGAAGGTTTTCTTCAAGGCCACAATGTGTTTTTAATGTAGCATCTCCTCATGGCTTCACAGTTAGAAAACTATTCCTCTGAGTTGTTCATTTTTAATCTTTCTGCAGCTGGTCATGAACGTTCAACTCCTACTAAGTCTTCTTGTGTCAGTGTAGAAGACTAATTCATTATACATTAGAAGGCATTTTCCAAAGACCACCAAGAAATCCACTAATATATCCCACTACAGAAAAAAAAAAAAGAGTCTGTTTTCTACCCAGCATCTGGTGGGTAAGTCAGGCATGTGTCTTCACAGTTTGCCTGAAGGTAAATTGACAAGCAATTTTACCAAACAATTCCTAGAAATTGGATGGTGAAATTCTCTTGTGTTCTAAGTCGTTAAAGTCATATTTTTGGATGTGGTTGCTTCTGTGCAAATTTCCTCAGAACTAGAAAAACAGAATAGAGAATTCCAGTAATAGAGAATTGCTGACTGTGTTTAGTTTTGTTTGGGTAAATAAAATAGCATAGCACACAAGCAGCTGCCTGCTGCATTTTTAAGGTGGAGTCTGAGGGAAACCTTCTGGAATATTGTAATTGTCAGTGTTCTTCTGAAGTAGTGTAGGTAATGGTCATGACTTCTTCCTCCAACCTGGCTCCCAGCTCTCGATTCTAGAGACCACATTTAGATCTCAATAAAATGCAACTTAGAGGGTCCTTTACTGGTGTCCTGTTTAAAACATGTACCTTCTCAGTGGCAAGTATGTAGCCTAAGAATTCAGATGGGTGTATCCTACATTGGAGTACCTGGGCTTGATTCCCGCCTCCTAACTCCAACTTCTGCCTATGCATACCCTAGGAGGCAGTGGTGATGGCTCAAGTAATTAGATTCCTGCCACCCATGTAAGAGATATGAATAGCATTCCTGGCTCCAGCCCCGGACATTGTGGGCATTTGGGGAGTGAATCAACATATGGAAGGCCCCCACCTCTCTACTTCTCAAATAAAGAAATAAATTAAAAAGAAAAACAAAACTATATACCTTCTGTCTTCCCCCATCACCTGCCCACACTATGCCAGTCCCTGTCTGTACTATTACTGTTTTTTTTTTTTTTATCTAGAAGACTCTTTTTTTTTTCTTACATATTCATCATCCATCACTGCCTATACTCTCTAATCTCTTCATTCCATGAGAAAGTGAAACCTAGAGGCCTGGGAATAACTTTTGAATGCTCCTTTCCTTTGCTTTCTCCTACAACTGCTCTTCCAATTCATTGGCTGGCCTTGGATGCGCTAATTCCAAATACGTCTTGAACTTCTCTACCTCTCTTAGTGCCCATTGTTGATACTCCAGCCCAGACTGAAACAGCCTCGAACCTGCTGCCTCATTTTAGTGTGCTGCTTTTCTAGCCTTTTCCAAACAGAGAAGCTGGAAAGAGCTAATAAACACATAGACCCTGTTGTTCATGACCTTGAATGAACAGGGCCTAGCACACATAATTTCCCTACAGTACTGGCTAAATGAATAGACAGAAAAAAATAAACATAAAGAATGAATTGATAGGAAATCTCCCTCAGTCGTATCTTACAGAGAGAGTTAGTGACAAGGTTTAGATTAGAGAACTACTACATGTCAGATGTGGCACTAAAACCAGATATTTCTGATAATAGTTAAGGGCTTATTAATAGGAACATGTTGCCATATCTTCCCATTCCTTCTCACTCTCAACAAATTGATAACATTTTATTTCACTTTATTATAGAATCATTTTTAATTTTGATTGGAAAATTGATACTCAGTTACTGCTGAAAACTTAAATTATTGAAGAACATAGAGAAATGAAGGAAAATAAATATCAACATGAATAGTTATATAAATTTATAAACATTTGTGTTAAATATATAAATATAAAATTTGTAAATATTATATAAAGTATTATTTAAAATATTTTAATTACTATAAAGAAAACAGATTTCATGTATTTCAGTTACAATTCTAAGAACATAAAGGAGAAATTTATAAATCCACCATGCATGGAATTTTTACATTTATCATTATTTTCTTCTTCATCATTCCATTTTTATTAATATTTATTTTAATAATCAGTAAATACAGAAAGTTATATAGACATATGAAAAATGTCATTACTGGGAACTAATTGCTGGTGATATTTTAATGTATTTATTCTAATACTTTGGGTTTTTTTTTAATTTGTGTGATATGAATTTCAGTGAAATGCAGAAAGAAACTTTAGAGAATGTTAACTATAAATTAGGAAGTATATTTCATAATTTTAAGTTAACAAATGTAAGAAATTTGATATGCTACTTCTAAGACCTTGAATTTTTGTGACAACTGTCTTTGAATTAGAAGCCTACTTAATTTCTTAGAAAAAGCCTTTGAGAAAAGGAAAGTGGACTTTGCAGACTCTCTATTAGATAAACTAAGCAATGCATAACTCTGTATTTTTCAAACCCATATTAATATGTATAAAATATTTGACATTTTCTTAGGGATATTAAATGTGCAATGTATGCTTGAAATTTGTTTAATTACTCAGACTTACTTTTTAAAAGATTTATTTATTTATTTGAAAGGCAGAGTGACAGAGACAGAGCGGGGGGAGAGAGAGAGAGAGAGAAAGAGAGAGAGAGAGAGAGAAAAAGAGAGAGAGAGAGAATCTTCATCTCTTTCAAATAGCCCCAATAGACAGGTCTGGAGTAGGGCAAACCCAGGATCCAGGAACTCCATCCTGATCTCTCACATAGGTTTCAGAGGCCCGAGTACTTGGAACGTCATCCACAGCCTTCACAGATCTATCAGCACGAAGCTGCACTGACAACAGTGTAGCTGGAACCTAAATTGGCACTCTGATATTTGGTGGCAGCATTGCAAGTGGTGGCTTTAACCCACTCTGCCACAATGCCAGATTCTGACATTTGTTATTAAAATAAACTTTCTTACCTAATACATGGAAGAATAAATTAAAGGAACTGTAGCACTAATGTTATCCTTTCTTAGTTAAACAAGGAGCATAAAGGTATTTATTTTAAAATTGCATGTCATGCCCAAGTTGCCTTCAAATGTAATTTTATTTACCATTATCTATATTTTTAAAAGATTTATTTTATTTATTTGAGAAGTAGAGTTACAGACAGTGAGAGGGAGAGACAGAAAGGGAGGTCTTCCTTTCTGGTTAACTCCCCAGATGGCTGCAACGGCTGGAGCTACCCCGATCTGAAGCCAGGAGCCAGGAGCTTCTTCCAGGTCTCCCATGTGGGTGCAGGGGCTCAAGCACTTGGGCCATCTTCTATTGCATTCTCAGGCCACAGCAGAGAGATGGATTGGGAGAGGAGCAGCTGGGCCTAGAACCGGCGTCCATATGGGATGCCAGCACTTCAGGCCTGGGCTTTAACCCGTTGCACCACAGTGCTGGCCCCCATTATGTGCATTTTTAAATGGCCATAACTTTTATTCATGTTCATCTTTCTTAATTCTTTAGGCAATATCCATCCCTTTCCTCCAACTACCAAAATTAGTCCCAATTTGAATCAAAATAATTTCAAATAGACCAAAAAATCAATTCATGAACAAATTTTCAAAAGTGTTATGCTATCAATATATGCCATTAGTTATATATATTTATCATAAAGACTTATTTATTTGAGAGACAGAGAGAGAGAGAGAGAGAGAGAGAGAGAGAGAGATCTTCTGTCTGTAAGTTCCCTCCCTAAATAGCTGCAACAGCCATGGCCGGGTCTGGCCAAAGCCAGGAAGCCGGAACTCCATCCAGATCTCCCACATGGTTGACAGGGACCAAACACTTGGCCCATTTTCCTCTGCTTTCTCAGGTGCATTAACAGGGAACTGGATTGGAAGTAGAGCAACTGGGGCTTAAACAGGTGTCCTTATGGGATACCCATGTCACAGGCAGCAGCTTAACCTCCTGTGCCACAGTGCCATCCCAGTAAAATGTATTTCTGATGTTGTTAATCTAAAGAAAATAAATAAATGCTTCACATGGTGCCTGGCACATAAAAACCACATGATATGTGCATGGCAATGTCTTTGAGACTTATTTTTATTGATGGTGTGTAATAACAATCTTACAGATTAATGGAATGTCTATCATGATGTAATAATACGAGGGTACTTCTAAAGCTTCATGGAAAAATTGAACTAAAAGGTAAGTTTATTTTTGGGGCCAGCACTGTGGTACAGTGAGTTAAAGCCCTAGCCTGCAGCTCCGGCATTGCATATTTTCGTGACTTTTTTAAGACTCCTCATATGCATGGATTTCAAAATTTTGAGGGGGCAGTTGTAGGTACTATTAGTTATTATAAATATTAGGTTGTAGGTACTATTTTTGATTCTTGCTTTTTTTTTGCCTCAGGGGCTGATTTATCAACTCAAAATTAGCTATGGAATCTGATTGCTGACCTCCAATCTGGTCTAGCTGATGTTGCTATGGTTTGTCAACACACTCCAGTTCCCAGTTAAGTATTAGAACTTGAAATTGTCCTTCACTCTGTCACCCAGGCCCATATGACAAAACCAGATGGCTGCACCATGTAAAAAAAGAGTATTTTTCACTGTCCTTCACTAGGGGACATCACTCAATGGTGGCTCCAAAAACTCCTGGATTTAGTATCACCTCATAATTTTTAGAACTTAGTGAAAATTGAATAGGTAGTTTCCCTGTTTAAAAATTATTGAGATTTTCAGGATGGCAGTAGTGGAGTATTGGAATTCTTCTATCTCTGAGTGCAGTTGGATCTTTCATCATTTGGTCGCCTTCATTTTCCCTTCAATTAATGACTGTGGGTCATTTACTAAGTATGAAGCATTGGTCTTACTATTCGAACTAAAAATGTGCTTACAATCTGTTCCCAATAGATTTTGGTGATTAAGACTTCCATGACATTTTTGTCTTGTTAAGTAAGAGCAAACGCTCAGCTCTAATTTCCTATACATTAGTCTTAAGTTGCATATTCTCTCCACCAGATTCTTACGAGCTGTATATTAACTACATGACATAGAACTCCAGTAGTCCGTATGTCCCTGGTTCTCTTATTACTACACATTTGATTGTTCTATTCCTATAAACAAATTTATTCATGGCTAGGGAACTGATCATATTCATAAAGGCATTAGTTGATATAGATTTAATGTGAGGGCTTAAATTCAAATATCTCTAGGGATCAGACAGATGATATGCCCAAAACAGTAAAACCATCAGGTATGGATTGACTACATGCCCACAGAGAAAATAGCTGGTTATTTAGCCACAAAGTTTATTGACATGTAAGACCACAGACACTATGTTGCCAAATCATTTTAAGAGAAGTAAGAAATTGGGCAAAAACATGTAAAAATTTCTTTTTATGTTGTCAGTTTTTAAAAAAGTTTAATATAGAGAAATAACTCTGCCCTAGATAAACCTAAGAAGCATGTCAGCTTTCTAATTTATCTTTTTGAAGATAAATTTATTGTGGTATAGTTCTCACATAGTAAATTTAAGCATCCAGCTCTTTGTAGTTTGACAAACACCTACAACTGTGAAACAACAATCATGGGCATGCTATAGAATAGTTCCAGTTTCCTTGCCACATCCCCTCACTCCTGTTTTCATTCATTCAGTTTCTGGTAACCACTGATATGTGTTCTGTCTCCATAGTTTTGCCTTCTCAAGAGTGCCATATAAATGAAATAGTGCTGGATGTGCCTTTTCATTTTGCCTAAAGAACTTAAAATTTATCCATGCTATTGCATGTCGGTGGGTTTTTTCCACCTAATTTTCAAAATTATTTTTCACTCTTTCACTCCCTGTCTTCATTCTTTCCTTTTTTCCTTACACTGTCTTGATTATTGTAGTTTTTTAGTGTAGTCTCAAACTTAGGTAATGTAAGTCATTCAGCTATTTTCTCCTGTGTCAAGGCTGTCTCTTCTAAGTAATTTGAATTTATGTGTGAATTTTTAGAATCTGTCCATCAATTTATTCATTTTTACTGTTATGCAACATCCTACTTTGTGAACATTCTAAAATTATTATATTCCATGACTTACATATTTGTTACAATTTAATAATTTATATTTTAATGATCATGTTTTGGTATTTTTGCTATTGTGATCCTATTATTAACAGTGCTACTAATATGAATAGTATTTGCCTCCGGTTGATCATATACAACAATTTTCTTGTTTCTGGTCTTATAAATTTGCTGAATCATAGTTTAGCAAAAGTTGAACTCTACAGAATATTGGTGTGTTTTTTTTCCAAAGTATTGAGCTAATTTTTACTCCTGTGAGCCGTATCTGGTGAGTATTTGGTGTTTGGTATTGTCACACTTAATTTTGCTGATCAACCAGGTAACAATTGTTATCCCTCCCTGTATAGTTTTATGATCTTTTTTTTAAAGATTTTTTATTTATTTATTTGAGAGGTAGAGTTACAGCTAGTGAGAGGGAGAGACAGAGAGAAAGGTCTTCCATTCATTGGTTCACTCCCCAAATGGCCACAACTGCTGGAGCAGTGCTGATCCGAAGCCAGGAGCCAGGTGCCTCTTCCCAGTCTCTCATGTGGGTGTAGGAGTCCAAGGAGTTGGGCCATCTTCCACTGCTTTCCCAGGCCACAGCAGAGAGCTGGATTGGAAGAGGAACAGCTGAGACTAGAACCAGCGCCTGCTGCAGGTGGAGGATTAAGCTACTGTGCCACGGCACCAGCCCCTTATGATCTTTTTTTGCTTAGGTGAGATTGGACCCCTTTCTTCACATTTATTGGTTACATGTTTTCTTCTATCAAATTACTGTCCATGTTTTTGCTCATTTTTGTTTGAGTTACAATTCATTTTATAACCTCACATATGAAATACCTATTCAAACCTTTTTTCATTTTCTCCCATTGGGATTCTTGTCCTTTTCTTCTTGATACATAGCAATTCTTTATTTTTCACCCTAATCCTACAAGGTGCTCATTGAATTGTAAATATTTTTATAATTGTATATTATAATATACAATATATAATAATTATAAATATCCAACTATATTTAAAACATCTTTTAATGAATAGTATTTTAAAAATTTTAATATAGTCAAGTAATTAATTTTTCTTCTATGGTTTCTAATTATTTTTTAGTTTTTTTTTGTAATTTTGTGGATTTGAAGTTTACAGACCACTTTTGTTAATGTATTCATAAGTTTGTTATGGGTTTCTTTCAGAAACATATTTGGATTTTTTATTTTATATTTAAGTTAATATAAGTCAAATTGCACATTGCCATCACTATAGATTCCAGGTTCAATAAAGTGTGACAGAACTTTATCTCTTTATAAATTTCCAAGTTAATGAGCCACTCTGGGTATTTTTTAATATAAGTATTCGCACCAGTTGTATCCTATTTTACTATTTCAGTTAAGATTCCACGGCAGGAAAAGAGAAAAACTAAGTGAACATCACCTTTACAGGGGTTTACTTTGAGCCATTTGTTTTGAGTGTGCTACCTACTTCTTTGGCTAAAATCTATGTACTAATCTGCCCATTCTTGATGGGTTAGATATGTGCACAAATCAATTTGTGGAGCCAAAAGCCACTGCAGTGTAAATGTGCTACCAGTATCCATTTCAAAACACTGCTTCCTCTTGCCAAGGTCAGTGCAGCCATGCCTGTTATCACTGAAGTAACCAGAGAATGCCAGCACACTCACTCTCAAAAAGGCAGCTTCTTTTGCAACATTACATTTCTGTGCTTTTTGTCCCTTTATTTCTTTTCTAGGTTGGAAATCATTTTTGCTTTTCATTCTAAAGCAAAGATTACTACCTTCCTATGAGAAATTTTGCTAAAGAAAGAAAAAGCTCATTTTCTCCAGAAAAATAGCAACTTCCTCTACTAGCAAGTTTTATTTTTAGAAGAGTTGAGAAACTGAATACAACATCTCCAGGTTTCCCCACATTGGATTGATTGCTATATTAAAGGCCCTATTGCTTTGTTGCTAAAACCTGAACTCCAGGTGTAGGAGTAGCTTCTTTACTTACTCATTTAATTTACAAAGTATACCTAGTGGTTGATTTCTCTCACCTTTCTAAAAGGTATACTCCCTTGCACCGCCCTGAGTATAGGCAATGAGAAAAACACTGACCTGGAAGGCACTGAAAATGAGGCAGGCACACTCACACCGAGTGGGATGAAGCCAGATTTGGTCTAAATGGGACATTCATGATCAGTTTAGTTTTATTTCAAATATGAGCCCCCAAATTCAACCCTTTTGACCCGAGTACTCCGTCTCTAAATGGCAAACTAAACATGCATGAAAATTTAATGGTGAGGAAATTAGTACCTTCTTATGTTTCAGACCGTGAAATGGCACCAGGAGAGCATTTGCAGTGGCAGGCAGAAGCGTGTGGACGTGCTAGCTCCAACCTGAAGCATTTGTTCCCCGCCACCTGCAGTCCTCCTTGAGCCAGCGAGCCACACAGACCACTTCTAGGATGCCGCCTAAAAAAGGTATTTAAAAATAAAGATCTGTTTGCAGAGTATTAGACCCTTCGTAGAGGTATAACTTTGTCTGAAGTTTGTTTCACAGGTTTTGTCCCCACTGGTGGGGCTTTTTCTTATTTCTGTTTTGCTGTGGGCAGGTTTCCTTGGTTTCTTCAGAAATTGGGAAAGGTTCAGTATTTCTTCAACTTCTTTTCTTCCTTGGGCATAGGATCTTGCTAATTGGTTAGTGCTTCAATTTATCTTTTTTCCCCCACCTTGAGAAGAAAATGGGGAATGTAGAATACATTGAGATTCCAGTGTAGGCATTCAAACTTTGGCTCCAGTCCTTGGGAGTGAACTGTTGTCTGACTAGTGCATGGGACACTTCTCCAAGAGGAATTAGATAAAGTTTAACTAAAGTTGAGGAGGAGAAAAAAAAGTTTAAGGCAGGAAAAAAATAAAGAAACACGAAACTGCTTTTTGGGGGGTATTTATGGGCAGGGATGAGCAATGTCACCAAACATATTTTTGGTTGCTGTGACTTGAAATCGGATGCATTTTCAGTACCATGTGGACAAATGTGGCATGTCCGGCAGTCTTTCTCTGATGTATATGTGGCTTACATTTTGATTAGTTTCAGCAACAGTAAAGTCTTCCAAAGACTGAATTCCAAATCAGAAGAACCTGGAGATATGTATTTGCTTTTCAGTATGGAGCATCTGACCCAGAAAGTCTTGCTAACAGCTATTCCTTTAGCTGATTCATTTAATCTTTGAATGGAAAGTGGAGACAGAGACCTCATTTAGAGACAATCTATTAAAGCCATCTAGCTTCAAGACTTTATCTTGGGAATCTGAGCAGTAGCTTATTTATTATACTCATTTTATTAACTTCGAACATCTGAAGAGTCTTAGGGACATAATGAAATAGGGACACTGTGTTAAGAAAACAAATTAAAAAGCAAACACTCCTTTTGGGGCTCCACATAGCTCCATGCACTTTTCCAAAGAAGCTGTTGGAAATGACCTATAGTTGAATATTAGCTTTTAGCCAGCTGGGAGCAGATTTTCCAATACTAGGAACAAGATTCAAATCTTTTTTTTTAATTTTACTTTGTTTCATTTTTTTTCTTTAAACAGAACTTTCTTCTCTCTCTCTCTCTAAAAAAAATTTGAGGGACAGATTTGAGAGCTGGTTTTCTGCCTAAATGTTCCCAATAGTTGGGGCTGGGCTGAGGCAGAAACCAGGGGCCAGGAACTCAGTCCAGGTCTCTCACATGGGTGACAGAGACCCAACTACTTGAACCATCACTGCTGCCTCACAGGGTCTGAGTTAGCAGGAACTTGAAGGCCGGAGCCAGAGGTTGGCATCACATGCTGGCCCTCTGAGGTGGGATGTGGATGTCTTAACCCACATCTTAACTTTTGGGCCACATTTCTGCCCCAGGACTCAAATGTTATGTAAGATATTTCAGGATTTAACAATCTGCAATCTTCATGATTTTCACACTATTTAGGTAGTTATGATGTTGGCAACATATTTATTTTTTTTGTACATTTCTAACAAGTTTTACAAAAGCTTTCAGTAAAGCTGCTTAGGCGTCTCAAAGGCCAACAATCTCACTAAATACAGTTAGAATTGATTATTCTGAGGGCACATATTTCAGTGTAGCAAGTTAAGCCACTGATGACATGCCTGCATCCCTTACTGGAGTGCTGACTCAGGTTCTGGCTCCCCTGCTTCCAATCCAGCTCCTTGGTAATGAGTTTGGGAAGGCAGAGGATGATGGCCCAAGTACTTGGACTCAGGCCATCCATGTGGGCTCCTGGGTTAGGTCTGGGCCAGCCCTGGCTGATGCAGGCTTTTGGGGAGTGAAACAGTGGATGGAAAATCTGTCTCTCTTTCTCTTCTCTGTCATTCTGCCTTTCAAATAAAAATAAATTAATCTAACCAAACAAAAGAACTGGTTATTTTTGCTGTTTATTAGTACTGTTATTTATCAGTTATTATTCTTAGTGCTTCACAATGACAGACATTTTAAAGTTTAAGAGCTTTGTTTTTTTTTTGAATATAACTTATATCCCTGCAAAAATGTGTAAACCTTAGAAAATATATTAAAGTTTACACTAGCAAAAACACAGAATCCCACCACACAGGAATTAGCTTGAGAATTAGGATATCTTTCAGACTTTTTCTGTGTTTGTTACATTTGGTTAGTATTTAATAAAATAAACATGATACAAACAACATGAATATAAAATGTCATATTTTAACTGATAAATATATAATGTATGCCATTATCTCAATAAATAGAAGTCATTCAATGCAAATATACATCTGCCCTCCTTATACAAATTTGTCAAAATTATAAATTTGTGGGGCAAATGATGTTTTACTATACCTAAAGGTGAGCAGATAAAATTTTCCACAAAAAATAAATTGTGTGTGTGTGTGTGTGTGTGTATGTACAAGTGCTGGGATTATTTTTTCTCATAGAAACTCATTCAACTCATTCATTCAATTATCCCACTAGTTCATTCAACAAATATTTCATTGTATTCTTTTTATTTGCATTGTAAGGAATGAAATGTGATAGAGTCTCTCTTCTCAAATAATTTGTAGAATAATTTGTTTCGGTAGTACTGAGAATTACTGAAAAAAATCAAGTCAGAAATATTTCTTTACTTGCTAGAAAAGGCTTTTAAAAATCAAGAACACTGATCCATTTGTTTCTTTTTTAAATTTTTTATTTATTTATTTATTTATTTTCTGACAGGCAGAGTTAGAGAGAGAGAGAGAGAGAGACAAAGAGAAAGGTCTTCCTTCCGTTGGTTCACCCCCTCAAGTGGCCACTATGGCCTGTGCACTGCGCCGATCAGAAGCCAGGAGCCAGGTGCTTTCTCTTGGTCTCCCATGCAGGTGCAGGGCCCAAGGACTTGGGCCATCCTCCACTGCCTTCCCAGGCCACAGCAGAGAGCTGGACTGGAAGAGGAGCAACTGGGACTAGAACCCGGGGTGCCGGTGCCGCAGGCAGACAATTAGCCAAGTGAGCCACGCAGCTGGCCCTGATCCATTTGTTTCTAACTTAACCTGTTCTTTTAGAATTCCTCTGAAGTGGGTAATATTTAAAGTGTTTGAAATTACCCTCACTGATGACTAAGAAACAGTTTTCCTTTGGTATCTGTTTCATCTCACATTGAATTTAGTTTTTAAATTGGGACCTGTATGTGGTGCCAGAGTTAAATTCTTGCTTGGAATACCGTATTGGAGAGAGTGTCAGGTTCAAGTCCCAGCTACACTGCTTCTGATCTGACTTCCTGCTAATGAACACCCTGGGAGGTGACTGGTGGTGGCTCAAGTACTTGGATCCTTGCCTCCCTTGTGAGAGATCTAGAAGAGGTTCCTGTTCCTAGCTTGTGGGTTGGAGAATGAACCAGCAGATGGAAACTGCACAATAAACCATACATACTTAAAACAAAGTTTGAAAGTTTTGAAGAGGGCCAGCACCGTGGCTCACTTGATTAATCCTCCACCTGCGGCGCCGGCATCCCATATGGGCACTGGGTTCTAGTCCCGGTTGCTCCTCTTCCTGTCCAGCTCTCTGTTGTGGCCCGGGAGGGCAGTGAAGGATGGCCCAGGTGTTTGGGCCCCTGCACCCACGTGGAAGACCAGGAAGAAGCACCTGGCTCCTGGCTTCAGATCGGCGTAGCTCCGGCCATAGTGGCCATTTGAGGGGGTGAACCAATGGAAGGAGGACTTTTCTCTCTCTCTCTCTCTCTCTCTCTCTCTCACTGTCTATCTGTCAAATAAGAATTAAAAAAAAGTTATAGCAAAAATTAAAAAAGAAAGAATGCAATTAGGGAAGGAAGGAATGTGTGGAGAATCTCACAGGAGTCTCAAAAAGAGTCATGGGAGACCAGGAAGAAGCTCCTGGCTCCTGGCTTCAGATCGGCGCAGTGCTGGCCATAGTGGCCATTTTGGGGGTGAACCAACAGAAGGAAGACCTTTCTGTCTGTCTGTCTCTCTCACTGTCTAACTCTATCTGTCAAATTAAAAAAAATTAAAAGTTTTGAATAAATTGATACACATTATAATCACAGCCATTCCACCATTCCAAAGGTTTTCTCATGCCATTTTGGTATAATTCCACAAATTGTCCCCAAACTCCCTCTATATGCCATCTCTGCACTCAAGCAATCTCTTTTCCCCCCACCCTCTGGTGTCACTGTAGATTAGTTTGCATTTTCTAGAATTTCATACAAATGAAAACATATAGTAAGCACTCTTGTGTCTGGGTTTATACTTAACTTAGTGCTTTTGTGATTCCTCCCACAATTAGATATATCTATATTTTGTTTTGTTACTTAGCAGTATTCTAGTGTATGGGTGTTTCGCAGTTTGTTCTTTGGTTCACCTATTGTTGAATATTATAGTTGTTTTAAATTTGGGGCTGAAAAAAGCTGCTGTGAATGTATTATTAATAAAGCTGTTATGTACTTTTGAGTAGAAGTCTTTTGTGAAATTATAGATTTGAATTTCTGGGTTATACTGTAGGTGTTTGAGTGCCTTTGTAAGACTCTACCGAAATACTTTCCGCAGTGGCTACGTCACTTTGCATTTTTACCAGCAGCATATGAGAGTTCCAGTTTAACTATGTTTTTAACCACAAGAAGGTATTTTGAGTGTGTCTTTCATTTTAGCCTTTTGAGAGAGTGTGTCGTGGTACCTCATCATGGTTTTAGCATATATTTCCATAATTAATAATAATGTGTTTTTATGTAATTTTTTCTTTTGTCTCTATTATTTTAAAAAATTTATTTATTTGAAAGGCAGACATACATGCACAGATCAGAAAGAGAGAGAGACAGAGAAAGAGAGAGAGAGAGAGAGAGAGAATCTTCCGTCCTCTGGTTTATTTGCTAGGCAAAACCAAACTCAGGAGCCAGATCTCAATATGAGCCTCCCACTTGGGTGGCAAGGACCCAAGTACCTGAGCCATCATTTGCTGCCTTCAATGGTGCACATTA